AGGCAGCGCGGCCGGTAGCCCTCGTAGAGCAGCTCGTGCGTCACCTCTTTCAGGTCGTGCAGGTTGGGTGGGAGCCAGCACCTGCTTCGGGTTTAGGAAGTCGCAGTGGCGCGGGTTCTCCACTAGGGGGTGGGCGTCAGCGAGCCTCGGTCCGACCGCGGGGAGCCCTGGGCTGTGCTAGCCGACGTCCCGCCTCACGCACCCCAAGAACCCCTCTTTTGGCTGCAGGGAATTCCCAGGGCCAGAGCTCACCCGGCTTCGTTGCTGAGTGCAGCCTGGCTCCCCGCGCCTGGCCTTACCCTCCGCGGTGCCCCAGGGGTAGCAGCGTTCCCTCACAGGCCTCGTCCCACGTCCCTCACCACCTCGCAGGAACCCACGACCGCGAAAGGGACGCTTTCCTAGAGGGCAGGTAGCAGGGGTCACACTGGCCCCTGGGCCAAAGCCCCCTGTCGGTTTTGCCTCACCTCGGCCTCACAGCTTCATTTCCGAGTCCCGCCTCTTGAACTCTTCATGCTCATCCGAGTCATATTCTGGGAACTGGTAGATGCTGATCTCCTCCTCCTTCAGCTGGTCCCGAATCTCAAAGGGAACACATGCAGAGAGAAGGGAAAATCGGCACACACCTGTAATCTCAGCACTCTGGCAGGCTGAAGCAGGAGGATCTCAAATTCGAGTTCCTGTCTCAAACTTAGTGAGACAGTGTCTCAAAATAAAGTCTGGGAAGTCGATGGCCCTGGGTTAAATCCTTAGTACTGCCAAAAAAGGCCATGAGCCACAGATATTCAATGGGCAGTGAGGCAAGATGTGTCAGGCATCAGAGCATCCATGTCCCTGCCCCCAGACAGCCTTAGCAAGCATTTAGCCCTGGATCTGATGTCCATCCTGTTCTCTTTGTTTGGTTTGGTTTGTTTGTATGTTTGAGACAGAGTCTTGCTATGTCATTCAAGCTGGCTTTGAATTCACTATGTAGCCCAGGCTGGTCTGAATTCAGGGTGATCCTCCTGCCTCAGCCTCCAGAATGCTGGGGTTACAGGTGTGTGCCACCTCGCCTGGCATATTGATCCTATTCTGAGCCTTTAGAGATAAGGCTACTTCTGGCATCTTCCTGCCTACCTTCCTTGGAAACGTTCTTCAGTCTAGCCTGACACCTCAAGCTCTGAAAAGGCCACCCCAAAGCTGGACTTGGTGCCACATGCCATAATCCCAGCGCCCCAGAGCCTGAGGCAGAAGGGCTGAAGGTTCAAGGCCAGCCTGGACTACATAGCAAAAAAAAAAAAGCCATGGGCTGGGGATGTACCTCAGTGGTTCTGCTGCCTGCCTCAAAAGAGTAAGCTCCTGAGTTCGATCCCGGTACCAAAAAAAAAAAAAAAAAAAGCCACTCCAGGATGGAAGAAGTCAAAGCTGAGGCGGGCTGGCCCCAACTTTAGGCTTCACTTAGGGCCATGGTCAGAGGTCATGCCACACCTTCTGTTTGAGAGCCTGGGGCATCTACTTTGCCAACTACAGGGATGACGTTGACTTTCTTGTGCACAGCCTGGAGGAAGGCCACATCCAGGAGAGCTGGAGCCTGCACCCATGGGTCGGTCAGGGACAGCCTGAGGGCAGCAGCCCCAGTCCCTGCCCCCCTGCCCATCTCTCGGGCTTCTACCCGCACCCCCAGACAAAGGCCAAGAGGAAGTAGAGGCAGCTGTACACTCGGGAGTCCTGATGTTCTTCCCATTCAGGCCGCTCTCATCCTGGAGATACTGCTCAGACTGCTCCTCCATGAAGCTGTTCACACTCCGTGGAGTGGAAGTAAGACTTTAGGTCTTACAAGGGCTCCGGATGCGAGACCCAGGGCCTTACTTCCGGAAAACGTGAACAGCCAAAAGGGCCTCCACGATGCTGGGACCTATAGCTTAGCGAGGCTCTGGGAGCTCGAGAAGCAGCGAGAGTCACCCAGGAAGGAACACACTGGGTTAGATGGTAAATAGACCTTTTTTAGTCTGGCCCAGACGGAACTCCTGGAGCCAAGAAGCTCTGAGAGGCAACTGCTCAGGGGCTGAGGTCCATTTTATAGGGTTTTTCTAAACAAAAAGTCAGTATTCACAGAACTACTAGAGGACAAGATTCCAAACACACTGCTTATCTTACGCAGGAAATGTTCTATGGTCACCTTTTGTCCCTGGGCCGGCTGTTAACCAAGTTAGCAATTAGGATATGAAGAAGCACCGTCTCTGGCCTATTAGCATGGAGTCACTTTAGCTCATTCTGGTCTCACACCAGGGATTGAACTCAGGACCTTGCACTTGTGAGCTAGGCAGTTGTACCACTGAGCTACACATCCCCGGCCCTGGAGTTAACTTTTAGAAGCCTGATCACATCCAGTTGTAAGTCTGTCATGATGGTTTGGTACTGAACTGGTACATTTGATTGTGGTGGCTGGGGAGCCCTAGGACAGGCCACCTACAGACCCAAGTGCTGGGGGGTGGCTCAGTCCAGTCCCAAGCCTTCCCAGGAAGCAGTGAAGCCAAAAGAGTAAATGTCAGCTTCCTGCTGAACCCTTGACTGAAGGAGTGGTGGTGTACACTGGCATAAACCCTGGAGCTCAAAACCCAGCAGGCCTGGAGTACTGATGCCTCAGGCAGAGGAACTTTCCCGGCTGCCTGGCTGGTAGAAGACGGATCATTGTACACCTGTTTTTCTGGCTCCTCAGGTACTGGACAGTGTCAGCCCTCACTTTTCCCACATGGTATACTTGGGCTCACACAGTGATCTCTGCAGATACTCTCAGATACAGCCCAACAACCCCTTGTTTTTTTGTTTGTTTTGTTTTGGTACCAGGGATAGAACTCAGGTCCTTGCGCTTGCAAGGCAGGAGGCGGAGCCACTGAGCTAAATCCCTGGCCCCATCCCTGTTTAATTTTTATGTTGAGTCAGGGTTTCCCTAAAATGGTAAATTGTCTAGGCTGGGTTTGAGTTTACAATCCTCCTGCCTCGTTTCCCAGAGTGCTGGGGTTACAGGCTTCCATCACGATGCTGGCTTAGTCCCAGCAACTTGGCAGGACTGGATCCTTTGAACCCAGTTCTGGACCTTCATGTCTCAAAAGAAAAGACAGCATCCAGGCAGGGTGGTGCACACCTCTAATCCCAAGGCTCTGGGTTATGGAGGAAGATCAGCCTGGGGAATCTAGCAATTGCTAGTGTAAGACCTAAAGTCTCACTTCCACTCCACGGAGCGTGAACAGCCAAAAAGGCCTCCACGATGCTGGGCCCTAACACCCAGCGAGGCTCCGGGAGCTCGACGGAGAAACAAGAAACCCAGGAAGGAACACACCAGGTTAGATGGTAAAGAGACCTTTATTAGTTTGGCCAGACGGAACTCCTGGAGCCAGGTGGCTCAGAGAGGCAACTGCTCAGGGGCTGAGGTACTTTTTATAAGGTTTTTCTAAACAAAGAGTCAGGGAATTCACAGAACAAGACTGCAAACACATTGCTTATCTTATGCAGGAAATGTTCTAGGGTCACCTTTTGTCAAACCATTTGCCCCTGGGTGGGCTGTTAACCAAGGTAGCAATTAACATATGAAGAAGCACAGTCTGGCCTATTAGCATGGAGTCACTTTAGCCCTATTCAAGTCTTACACTAGATTGCTAGCAATTGCTAGGGAGAACAGGACTCAATGAAAAATTGGGCTGGGATATACATCTCATTGTGTAGGCCTTGGTTTCAATCCCCAGAGACAAAGAAACAAAAAACATTAATTTCAGCCAGGCGTGGTGTGGTGGCGCACACCTATAGACCCAGCACTTGGGAGGCTGAGGCAGGAGGATCGCTACAAGTTCCAGACCAGCCTGGGCTACCTAGTGAGTTCCAGGTCAGTCTCAACTACATAGTGAGACCCTGTCTCAAAAACAAAACAACTACAACAACGAAAGACACATTAATTTCTTCCCCAGTATTTGTGTAAGACCTAAAGTCTCACTTCCACTCCACGGAGCGTGAACAGCCAAAAAGACCTCCACAATGCTGGGCCCTAACACCCAGCGAGGCTCCGGGAGATCGACGGAGAAACGAGAAACCCAGGAAGGAACACACCAGGCTAGATGGTAAAGAGACCTTTATTAGTTTGGCCAGACGGAACTCCTGGAGCCAGGTGGCTCAGAGAGGCAACTGCTCAGGGGCTGAGGTACTTTTTATAAGGTTTTTCTAAACAAAGAGTCAGGGAATTCACAGAACAAGACTGCAAACACATTGCTTATCTTATGCAGGAAATGTTCTAGGGTCACCTTTTGTCAAACCATTTGCCCCTGGGCGGGCTGTTAACCAAGGTAGAATTAGCATATGAAGAAGCACAGTGTGGCCTATTAACATGGAGTCACTTTAGTTTATTCAAGTCTTACATTTGCTTTTCTACATTTTTCAAATGGAATTAATAGTTTTGGGAATTCTCATTGAAGATTTCAGTATCCAAGATTTTACTCTTTCAGAATTTTCGAGCTGGGCGTGGTGGCGCATGCCTGTAATCCCAGCACTCGGGAGGCTAGGCAGGAGGATTGCTGTGAGTTGAGACCAGCCTGGGCTACATAATGAGTTCCTGTTCAGTCTCAGCCACATAGTGAGATCCTGTCTCAAAAAAACCCAAAAAAACAGCTGGGCGTGGCACCACACCCCTGTAATCCCAGCACTGTGAATTCGAGACCAATCTGGGATACACAGTGAGTTCCAGGGCAGTCTGAACTACATAGTGAGACCCTATCTCAAAAAACCAAAAAGTTGCAAGCGCAAGGACTCGAGTTCAATCCCTGGTACCAAAAAAACAAACAAACAAACAAACAAACAAAACCCAGAATTTTCAATATTAGGGATTTTGATCTTTCAAGAGTTCTTTTTTTTTTTTTTTTTTTTTTTTAAACAGGGTCTCAAAGTGGAGGCGGTCTTCTGCCTCAGCTTCCCAAAGAGCTGGGATTATAGGCATGTGCACTGCCTCCGGTTTCATGTATCAACTTTTGCACAAACTCCTGGCATAGCACAAAGGTGCTAATTCATTAAAATTAACATATAAAACATGGTCCCCCCTCTCCACTACTAGAGGAACTGAGGACCCCTCACAAAAGCAAGCCTGCCAAGGGCCAGGGATTTAGCTCAGTGGTTCGATGGCCTGCCTTGCAAGCGCAAGGACCCGAGTTCAATCCCCGGTACAAAAAAAAAGGCAAGCCTGCCAAGATCTTGGTATTCTGCTGGCAGCGGGATTCCCAGATCACTGCTCTAGTCAGGGTCCCACCAGGATGCAAACAGGGTTTAATTCTTCATCCTCCCCAGGAGCTGGCCTTTGTAGGTCTGTGGACCTGTCCCCAGAATTTCTGGAAACCTCTTTGTGCCTGCCTCTTTGTCTCTGCTTGTTTCACTGTCTGCTGTCTTTTGTTCCAGGGTCTCTGGGCCGGTTTCCCTCTAGGTTCCCCGCCTCTTTTTCTTATTGCCCCTGCCACTCCGCATCAAAGACTTTGTCTCCGCTGGCCGGCCGCCGTCCCTCCGTCTTTCTGCCCGTGCGCCCTCCGACTCGGGGTCCTGTTCTCAGGACTGCTCAGCCTGACCCCGGGTCTCAGCCGCCCTGTGAGTCGGACTCCATCGACCGCCTTTCGCCGGGCGCATCACC